AATTCACTGCATGATATTGCAATTACTGTAAGATTTATTTCACTGTATTGTAAAATAAAACATGCCTTTTTGGCATGGAGTTCTCATTAGCTATGTGCGAACACAGCATCTGAAATCTGCTCTTGTGCAGAGGAGACACAAGAAGAAACTGGCATTGAAATACTGTTTTTTTCTATTCAGTAGCCTCACAGGAGTCAGAATCAGTAGGGAGACTTTCCCCACTGTATTCTCTCCAGGTATTGCTGCGAGGTAGAGCTCAGGGTCATAAACCAAGTTTACAGGTTCCTTATCTGAATAACAGCTTGCTATTAAAACACAGTCCTCCACTGGATGCATCCCACTTACTGTTCATATGCTATGCAGATGATAGGCAAAATGCTCAGCAAATTAGATGGTGTGGCTCACTGTGCAGAGAACTCTACAATAAATTACACCGATTCTGGATCTCACATCATGTGCTCTCTGGCTCAAGACATAACACAACGTGCCCAGGGAGCTGAGATTACTTGAATCTCTGTATCTAGAAACCAGAACATGTAACTTACTGCATACATTGCTCAGGCCCATCTTAAATTAAGAGTCTGAATAGAATGGGAAGACTAGAAGCTAGCAATATGAAATCAGAAAATATGAGCAAAGGTAAGTGCACAGCAATAGAGAAATAAAAGTCCAACTTCTATTAGGAACACAAAATGCATGCAAAACACCAGCATATAAATGCATGGGTGTTGTGCTCCTCAAATTTTCTTTCTTTTTAACAGTCTTAATAATTTCACACTTGTAACTGCAGGTGTCATAGAGAAAGAGTCATAACCACCAAACAAGAAGAGGAAATCTCTGTGAGAAGTTCTCTGTTAATAAAACGTTGTTATACAAAGATCATTTAAAAATAGAGTTGTTTTCTCCGTTCTTAGTCTACTAAAAAAATCACAGGAAAAAACTATGCCACTGTAAAACTCAGGCTAAATTTTAATATACGGTAATCGAGAAGACACACAACAACTTCAGCATCGGGCCCTCGTAGTTCTTTTTAGTTAACTTTTCAATGTCATTTAGGTAAAAAAGAATAAAATTAATTATTTGCAAGAGTGCTTTAAAGGTTATTACAAATTTATTCATTATGCAATCACAAATCAACATTTTAAAACCATCTGCTTTGCTAAATTGCTTTTCCACAGCAGCTAGCAAGCATAACATAAGCCTGCAAACAAGATTTTTCTAGAGATCCATGTTAACTTACAAATATACAGAATGTTTGTAAGAAAGAATATAAAGGACTCATTGACTCAATTTCAATGTCTATCTAGGCAATTTGGGGAAGATGAGGGGAGAGGAGGGAGAACAATTTGCCTGGGATTTAAAAAAAAAATCACACATTTTATTTTTTGGTAACTCTCATTATAAATTCCTGAATGGTGGTTTTACATCACATCTCTTCTATATATGTAACTTTCTGTGTATATATGAAGGACCTTGTTGCTTCTACATGTGTTTTAGCTTCTGTTTTTATAGAATAGGTAGTATTTTAATTAGTTTATTTATTTATCAATTAGAATAATAGCTTGAGAAAGCAATAATAAATCTAAATTACACAATAAATAAATACTGTCCTACACAAACTAGAAGCATATACCTTTGAAATAACACTCTTTAGAATACTGATTGGGGGTTTCTTATTAGTAGATAGCCACCACAACTTACTGAGATTTTTATCTGTGGTATGTGTGTCACAATGAATAAAAAAAAGTTGCCAGAATACGCTCTTCTGTATTTACAGAAACTATTTATTATAATTCTTTATTTGGGCAACAGCAGCAGTTGCTTACCTGGAAAACAGGAGAATTCAGCTCTTTAAAAAATATTCCAGTAGCTTTTTTCCTACATTAAAATGAATGCTGCCTGATATATGCTCCTTATAATGCAAGAAAGCAGCTTATCTTGTGATGGTCACTGAGCATATTTTATTAGACAACTGTAAAACACATCTTCGTTAAAATATTTGTTATGATTTCCAAGTCCTCAAAAGAAATTGTCTTTCAACAGTTTACTGGACTATCTTAAGTTGATACAAGAATTATGTACAGCTTAATTTTTTAAAATTATTAAGACTCTTACTCCTATGTTTTCAATCTAGTGGACAAAGTATCTTAAGTCTGTGTCATCAATGATGCTACTGCCATAAAAATATAGTCACAGTAACAAAAAAAAACCCCCAAGTTCTGTCTTTTCAGGCCTTCTCTCTCAATTTTAATGACAGTTTTTTTCAATTAGATGTTGTCTGAGAAGCTAGAAGGACTAGAGTAATGTCATCTCAACCAACTCTAGAAGATGCCACATTCTGCTTACAAGACGTTCCTCCCCTTCCCACCTGTAGAGGTTCCTGCAGAAAGACGTGCAGAACAACACTGAGAAGTGACCTGGCCCCTGGCAACTCAGCCAACAGCAGGGAGATAGGATGTGTTTTTCCACATATGCATCCCTTAAAGAGAATTTATGTAACATGCATATGCATTATATTATGATATTTCCTCATTTCTTGACAGGTGGTGGATGGCAAAAAAGGTAACCAAGTCTTTCTGTACTGGAGTAATCTATGATTGACACTGGGTGGACATATACAGTGAGATCAGTATGACCAAGAGCAAGTAAGTGAACAGTAAGTAAACAATGGTTCTTCCTCATTAATGTACACAACTTCTGATCTACCTTTTCACTTTGCCTATGTATCTGCAACATGCTCTGCTACTTTATTTATTATTTCAGTTAATCCTTGCTACATCGCCCATCTTGAAATTTCTTTATGAATGTGATTCTTACTTTAGGACACATCACTTGTTAACACACACATCAAGAAAAGGGATCTACCTTACAAAGGATAATTGTCTTTGACAACTTGCTTTATTTCTCTGTTATCTGTTGGCAACATCTGGGTTATTTTTGCAAGTAATAATGGATGCACAGGTGCTTAAATATGCATCTGTCACCTTCTCTGTTGTTTTCACTGACAACTTTATCCAGATGCATACTTTTTAGTCCCATTTACATTTGCAACAACAGAAAAAGATTTTTCTGCCGAGACAGTTTATGACAGAATCACCAACAGAGTAGCACCTCTCTACACAAAGTGCTAAGTTTCAAAATAAATTTTTAATACCTGAACAAATTAAGAATCTGAATTGAAATTGAATCTGGAATGAAAAGCAGAATTAGCTGCTACTGAGCTACACCATAACAGTCTCAAAAGACACAGTGTAAGTGTAGAGCCTACTTGTATATGGGATACAAAACCACTAGAAAAAGTGCAAACATTAAACAGAACTCAGAAAACACAGGAGAAATTCCACATTTTATGGAGTTGTTTCTAATTTTTATCCTCAGGGAAAAAACTGTCAGATATTTATTAATTACATGCCTTCTCAGCCTTACATTTACAGAATACAATTCTAAGCTAAACCATGCAATTTTTAGTTATTAAAAAGAATGTCAGAGTTAAACTGCTTGAGCACCTTCAAGACATTTAAGACAAAACACAGACAAAGCAGACACTGAGAAAGTTGCGTGTTGAGTGCAAGTCAACAAGCCTACCACTGTTCTGTTCTTCAAAGACAGCATTAAATACCAAGTCAGAGCACTAGTAATTATTATTTTAGGTAATCTCATCCAAACTTGCCATCAGAAAACAGAAAACCAGTAACATCAGAATCACCACTTCTCTGAGCTGATCTAAGTAAGTGTTTTGTCTTTCCTCTGCCAGCTTCTTTGGACTTGTCACCCTTACTGTTTCTAGTTGATCTGGTCAGTCTCATGGTGTGCTAGCCAAAGTTTAATAGAATATGGAAAAGTGCAATGGTTTGAACACGGTACAGTGTTTATGAGGACAAGCGAGAACAAAAGCTAGCCAGAGGACTTACAGACCAGCAAGAGTAAGAACTAACAAGTTTCTTGTAAATTCAAAGCCAGGAGACAGAAGAATTTTTGAATTGCAAGACTTGAATTGCAAAATCGGCATGGAAATCTGAGAAATGTTCTCACTAATTCCTCCTCAAATTGCATCAGTATGTTTCAACAACTTGTCCTAGGCTCTGAAAACCCTGAACCAGAATGATAAAGGTGATAAAAGATCAGGATTAATTTTTATCTTCAGAGATGTCTGGGGAAGCTGATTACCAAAGTATGCCTTAAAACCCAGGACACTGGTTTTAGACTCCATTTTGATAAAGTTAATTGCATGTATAAAGGCAGAAAATTCCAGTAGGTCAAAGATTTCATCAGCGTTCTTGTACTAAAGCCAGTACTCAAGAATTATAAACAATCTAAGTCTTCATGAATGAAATGGTTCTTAAAACAGTTTGCTCTATAATTTTGAAGACAAAACCAGTGATATATAAAAGCAATGCAGTGTTGCATATTAAGCAATACTAGAGGATACCACACATTTTTCAGCTGCTGAGAAAATCAACAAAGAGGTAAAATTGCCCAAAAGCTGTTATCATCCTAACAATTTGAAATTCTCTCCAGCCATTGCTGAATAGCATGAACTCAAGATTCCAAAAATAAATCAAAAGCAACCCATAAACTGAACAATATGTTTTGGTAAAGAAAAAACTTTTATATTACCAAATATGATCCAAATCTGAGTTATTAAAATTGAAACATTACCCAGCCATGAAGTTTCTTTAAATACCAGCATCTTAACATCCACTATAAAACTGTACAGTTACAGGAAGTACTATGTAATATCTTTTCAGGAGGAAAATGAAGATAGAGCTGAGATATCTTTCAGCAAATTTTGTTATGGCTACAGAAAAACTCACAACAGATTTGTGGCGCTCATGCCACTCCAAAGCTAGTAGAAAATAGTATTTCCAAAGATTCAGAACACAGGTGACTTTTCAGATCAGTCATAAGAATGCATATAAAGACAAATAAAAAACAATACATTTTACGTTATGGAAACAATACCTATGAAAATACGCTGCAAAAAAAGGGAAAAAAATTACCTGGAACAAGTTCCATAACAATGTAAATAGGTTGTCGTTGGGTGCAAACTCCTATAAGTTTTACAATATTAGGATGATCATACTGTTTGAGTATTCTGCAAAACACACAGTAAGTTTACTATATTAATAAACTTTATTGCATAAACCAAGTAAATATTATAGGAAAGTATCTTAAACTCATAATGTTATTTTAGTGGAACATGTCATTACTGTTATCATGAAGGAAAAAACAAATCAATGTAACAGATCAATCATCATTCTGTTTGAAATGGATGGCGTACTGATTCACTAATAAATCAAGATTGAACAATATTTTATTCTTACTATAATTTTACCATTTGTCTACATAACTGAAAAATGGCCTGACCCGTTTGCAGTTTCTCAAGAAACTTTGTAATTAAATAGCATTTCAGTGATGGACCAGAAAGAGACCTACATCAAAAAAGCATGCACAGCATGCCTCTACACTTTCCTGCTGCACATTTCAAATGCACGCTCATTCCAATTTTACTTTAAGAGATTAATTAACACAATAAGGTTTTTTTTTAAAATATAAAGACAGCAGTTTTAATTTTAGGAATTAAACAAAAGTATTTACATCTTCTTACACAATACTTTAATAACAACATTTGCAGCCTAAACAGCATGCTGTGATTTATAAGTGAAATGAAGGGCAAGCAAGAATTCTACAGAGACCTTGTAACTTAACTGTTTCTTCTACTATTTGCTTACTTAAAGCACCTCCTCTTTTTCACTTTTTTCCTAGGATCAAGATTAAAATACTAACCTACCTGGTACATACATATTTACTGAGAAATAAGGCATTTATTTTTTTTCAGACTAACACTGTTCCATTTGTGGCAGGCTGATTAACAAATGAAACATCTCTGCAGTTGCCAAGTTACGAGCTGTTTAAAATTATTCAATAGATACAGTGGCTGATCTTCATTCTCTAAATGTAGATAGTATCTTTCACTTTTTCATATTGATCATACTAGTTTGGGAGTAAAAATGAAAACATATGAAGCTTCATAGCAAGAGGGAGCAAGTTAATTTAAACAATTGTGACATTATCTCAATACACCCCTCTATCTTGAGGTCTCAGAACCTACCTGTCTAGCTGTCTGTACTCAGAATACTTAGCATATCATGGCATGATTGTCATTTGACACATTGACACAGCACAAAAAATCTCTACTGGAGGGAACTCTCCTTACAAAGAGAAAATTACTAAATGGGGTCTTTATGGTAACCTAGACACATTTGATCAGCTCTGTTAGTCATGCACGTAAGGTAGGAATTATGACTGGTATAATCACATTTAAATTAACAGCATCTTAGAGTCCTCTTATCCCAATCCTCATAGCACAACTCAGAAGAAATTCTAAATGAAAGCACTTACAATAATAAAATTGTGTTTTATAGGCAGAGCTTGCTTTGCTGAAGAGGTAGTTTCAGCAAGTGCAAATGCTACTGCATTCACACATTAAAAATGCCTATGTTTAGTTACCAGGGCAACAGTTGTGTAATGTACAGAAGAAAAGAAAAAAAAGGCAAAAGTTTGACTACTACTTCTTGGAATTTTTCTGAAGGTCAGATTTTGTAAATCCATCTAGTAATAAAACTTGAAAAAAAAAAAAAACAAACCCATAACAAGTATATATTTCAATTAAATTTAGAGAACCTACCTGGCTTCTGAGAGAAATTTTATTTTCAGTTCCTGAGGAAGATCTTCTTTACAAGTTTTTACAGCAACAGGAGTTTTATCCTTTAATGTTCCCTTATACACCTCACCAAAATTACCCTGAAATCGGGGGGGAGGGGGGGAAATCATTCTAAGTAAACAAATCTTCACAAATCACCAGAAAGATAATGCAGACAGCTAATGTAACTGGCACAGAACTTTGAAATGTGTTCACAAAGCCAGATGAGGTTTTCTTGTAGTATCTGCCCCTAACACAATGCAGTTCACATAAACATAGCACATCTATTATATGGACACAGAGTATGAGTTCTACTTTGACCTTGCTGAAAAGAGAAAAAAAAATATATTAATTGTGTAATTTTCTCATAAAACTTCTTAGTAACTTCTAAAGTCAACACCGACAGTAATACTTTTTTTCCTTATACCTGCACTCTTTCATTTCCACACTATTGTATTTTATCAATAGTTTTAAACTTGTGGTCTGTAAGAGACCAAAAGAATATCTGTGAAACTAGGACAAAACCCATCAAAATAACATAAACATTCTCACATATACCAGAGAGAAAATATGTAAAGTAAGAAAAATGAAGACAGTGTTTATTAATTTTGATCGTAAATTAAAATCACTACCAAAAAAACCTATTGTTGTGTCTGCCCTGAAAAAGTCATGCGAGCCACAATTTTTTTAAAAGCTAAGATCAGCACTGCTCTATAAAGACAAGTATGTAAGGCCTTACATTTGGACAGTAGCGCCTTTTATAATCAGATCTTTTAGGTCTTCAACAACATAAGCCCAGGGTAAGTTGTTTATTGAAATAACAGAGCTTTCATAGAAGAAAACTGAAATAATAAAGACTATAGAATAATCTCCGTCAGATGTAACTTTTACTTAAATAAAAACAAAAGGAAAATTAATTAGGACAGAAATTGATGGAAGAAGGAAATTGTGGGGTATATAACAAAACACTGGTATCAATGAAAAAAGCCAAGAGAATAAAAAAAAAAAACCCACACCAAACCTGAAGATCTCATACTTTTAGTTAAGGTTTGTATTTCCCAAACAATAAATACAACTCAATTTTAAATCTACATCTGATAAATTTTCCCGTGATTCCACTTCTGTGTCCTGGTATCTGGGGCTGCATGTGACTTCAACAAACAGCAAAACTCTGCTGAAAATGTTCTGCTTTCTTTCCTGAGTGATGAAGATCTCTTTATATTATGCATTTGTATTCAAACTGTATTGCCAGAGGAAGAGGACAGAAAAGGAAAAAAAGAAACTCACAGATGGAAAATAGTAATGTGCTGCTAGTGACAAGGGAAGAAATTTAGGCCTAAACACGTTTCCAGTATTATTTTGTATATCCTAGGATAAGCAAGATATAGCTGGCAAGCAAGGCATAGGATATATGATGGCAATCTGCCCTTCTAAAATAGCACTTCTAGAGGCTGGGACACTACCTCTGATCTCTAAAATGGCATGAGGTGCCCAAAAGCAAGAAGCTGAATCACTCCCAACACGCTTTTCCTCTAGCCTTCTAGCCAGAAGTATTTAATGGTGAAAGCTGAACTCACCTTAAGGACCACTTAAGTATTGAAAATGCTTTTTTTACTTTATTTAAAATATTTGATTATCATTATATATATGATTTTTAATATAACATGTTCCTTTCATATAACTTTCATTTTGTGGGGTATTATAGAATTAATACTGAGTAAATAAACAGACCATTCACTCCTGAGGTGAAGGAAAATCTTTGTCTTTTCTAAAATTTGCATTCTCTTATGCATTAAGTTTTCATTATTTTTATCCTCGTATTTTCCAGGCCACTCAAGCTTTTATAGACCCTCAGATTTCTCACTTCCTTGCTGAATGGCTGTAGTTTATTTACCATTTTCTCATACAGATGCTGATGGTCCTGTCATTCTTGTCTTTTCTAGTTTGACTGTATACTTTTAGAGATGTATGCATAACAGATTTATACTGTGTTCAAGAAAGTTTTTATCCTGTTCACTATTTGTTAAAGAACAAATCCTTCTATAATCACTTTTAAGCACTGAGTTGTCTTTACTGAATGTTAAAAATGCTTTATGCCAAAACCATGTAACGCACATGTAAATTCAGTTTACTAAATTTATAAATTTTCAGGGGTTTTTTTAGCTGTCTTTACTCATCAAGACTAATTCATACTTATTTTTTAGCATGACAAAGTTTTTTTAATGCCTGGAACACTTTATTTTTCTGCCTTGATTTTATGAAAAATATTCTGTTTAAGAATGTGAAGCCGTCATAGTACTTGCATTTTATGCAAACACAGCTCTGTCGACTGTTAGATATTACTTTTTGTCATCTTACACTGCCAAAGAGATTTTATCCTGGGTAACAGAATTTTCTGACAGTATTTAATTCCCTCATTTCTCGAACAGCTTATAATTCTTTTACTGTGCATCATAGTAAGGAGGCAATTATTGCTTTCATTTGTCTCCTCATTTAAGCCTATTTTTCAGGTTTTGGGATATCTTTCAGAACGTTGTGTCCAGAGCAGCACTCACAACTGTTTTTGTAGGTGTAAAGGTGGAAAAATGTGACGTATGGGGCTTACCTGCCTTTAAAGACTATAAGCAGAATTTATGATATAAACTACAGTATACAAGAATTAATTTAATACATATGTCATTGTGAAGTTACCTAACATTCAATAAATCATACAAAAGCAATGAACACTTGCTTTAACAAACATTGATTTAATCATATTATACCAAATTTTATACATACATACATAAACATAAATCTGTTTATATGTTTTTATTTATATTTTGCAGTAACATATTTTGTAAGGCTACACAATGTCAAACAGCCACATCATGCTTTATCAAAAACTATTTAGCTTAAAAGCCTTCCAAAAGAGAAAAATATGCATGCTAGTTAAACACTTTCAGCACACACATCATATCATTTACCAGTAAATGTGATTTATATTTGTTTAAAGCATAATGCTGTCTTTTGTATTAAAGCAAAAGAGTTTATATAAAAATTGCATACCACGGTAACTTAAAAGATACAGCAAATAGGAAATGTATAGGCTGAATTATTAATATATAATTATTTAATGTTATTTAGCTCACTTGATTACTTACTTTCCCCAGTAATTCTCCTAGTGTGACATCTTCATGATTAAGAACCCATTTCTTATCCTATGGAAAGAAAACAGAAGAAAAATTTTCAGTCTGTGCAAATATGATGTAAGATACAGTTTCTGTGAGTCACATTTCAGTAGAAATGGAGCTTAAGAAGCATTTTATTCAGACTGGTCAATAAAAAGCATGCCAGGAAATTATAAATCTAAGTGTTTATAAAACAGAGTTTAGAATACTTGAAGTGTATATATATATATTGAAATATACTGTATAGCAATTTTCTATCAGAAGATTAAGGCTACAACATGGCTACAACAGTAGGTAGGTAGGTAGAGCACTATGCAAATTGCACACAAGCTCTGGAAATGACATCTAGCACCCTGTTTTGAACAATTATCTGAGTCAAAATCAGATAAGAAAACTTCACTTTAGTATAGGAAGTAACTTATTTCTAGATCAAAACCCCATTTTTCTCCTCAGTGCACGTGAAGAACAACTCATTTTTCTACTTATTAGCAAGATATATATTTGCATCTTTTACACCTTCTGTGGTGGTTTGAAATATTACAGGCAACTACTAGAAAAGATAACATAACAAATGACAGTTAAATTATCTGTTCAGTGTTGGTGACCAGTACTGTGTATACTCTGCAACAGCCTAAAGACATATCAAAAACAATTATAAACTTCTTGGTACACAGACATATTTAATAAATACTTAGCTAAAATGTTAGAGTAGGATATTTTAAGTCTAACCCAAGTTTACTATTTTTCCATTTTATTTCTCTGTTAGCAACTTATCTACTTATGGCCTCACAAACACTATTACTGTTCCTCATGCCCTAAGCATTTTTTATCACCAATGAAAAAGGCAAATACCTAAACAAGCATATGCGAACTCATTAAATCATTTCTCATTAAAGCTCACAGAAAAGCAAGCCAAACGTGCTGGGTTTGAAGTACACCTAGCATATCAATCACCAAGTTTTCTGGACCATGGAGAACCTGTAGTGATCCTGACTGGAAGACTGTTGTACATCAAAGTGTTAGTGGTCCATGCAACAGCTAATTGGAGTGACCCCATGCCTGTGCTGTGCTGTGCAACTCTCTGGGCCGTAGGATGAACTCAGACACCACATTGCAATAGATCCCACAGGCAGTTCCCACCAGGTACCAGCAATTACACCACCTGCATGGCCTTGCCTTTGCCTACAAGCGCTCCAAGGAGTTCTCATGTGGATGTCCTTTCTCTTTGCCAGTAAAAATAACGAACAGAGTTGTTTCCTTGTGAGAAAGTCCTGTTACGGTCCTGTTATTTGGTCCTCGAATGACCAAAATGTGAGAATCTCTGCAACAGGCAGGGACTGCCCAGCATGTTGCACATGATCAGTGGCCCATTCAATGCTACATCACCCAGGGCTCCCACTGTCTAAAGGGATGCAAGATTGTCTATTCTCTCCTTATAGTGTTAGCTCTAACAGCATTTTAAATGATACCTTCCAGACTCTGAGTGCCTTTCATACTGGGGCCATAACACCATCTCCTGGTGCAAAATGGGATCTTTCAAATGTGTATAAATAACCCATGGCATTGAATGAAGAAAAGGGAGCTAGACTCTTCTCAATGGTGCATAATGACAAGAGGCAATGAACACAGGTTAGAAAACAGGAAATTCATTCTGAACATGAGGAAACACATTTTTACTGTGATGATGGTCAAACACCATAACAGATTACCCAGAATGATTTTGGAGTCTTCCATCTGTGGAGACATTCAAAACCCAACTGGACACAGTCCTGGGAAACCCATAGTAGTTGAACCTGCCTGAGTAGGGGTGTTGGACTAGGTAATCTCAAGAATACCCTTCCAACCTAAATGAGCCTGTGATTCAAAGACGGAGAAAAACCTTCTGTATGTAACTAGATCATAGAATCTAGTGGTTTGGGTTTGAAGGGACCTTAAAGGTCATCTAGTCCAACCCACCCTGCCATGGGCAGGGACACTTTTCAATAGATCAGGTTCCTCAGAGCCTCATCCAATGTGGCCTTGAACACTTCCAGGAGGGGGCATCCACAACTTCTCCAGGCAACCTGTTCCAGTGTCTCACCACCCTCATAACAAAGAATTTCTTCATTATATTCAATCCACCCTAATTCAGCTTAAAACTGTTTACCCTTGTCCTGCCACTACAAGCCATGGCAAAAAGTCTCTTTCTGTCTTTCTTGCAAGTCCCCTTTAAATATTGAAAGGCTGCAATCAGGTCTCCCTGGGAAATTTTGACTCCCTAGGTAAGAAAGTAATTTTAAAAATAATCTGTTTATCTATCTATCTATCCCCCTGTCATGGCTGAATTCTGGGTACAGAACACTTAGTACAACCTGAGTATGAAGGACTTCACAAAGAATGTTTTTGTAACATAAAGCTTGAGATCATCTTAACAGAAGATTTTATATATATATATACATATATATATATATATGTTTTTCAAACTGAAAATTCTTCTTTCCCTTCAGATGGGGGCTAAATCTTTAACAAAACATTCCCCAGCACAATTTCCTGTGACCTATGCAACCAGTAAAGTCTGCTGTCAATTGCTAAGGAAGATGGAGGCTTGTACTGATTTATGTCTCCCTCCTTTTGCTAGGAGAAAACCATTCAGGAAGTAATCTAGAGATGTTCTGGGTAACTGAAAGCATGAAAGGAATACGGAAGAATTAGAATCATAGAATCGTTTAGGTTGTAAAAGACCTTTAAGATCATCAGGTCCAACCGTTACCCTAACACTGCCATCCCACCACTAAACCATGTCCCTAAGCACCTCATCTATCCTTCTTT